ATTCAACCTGTACTCACTGGTATGCATGCACTAATACAATCTTTGTCTTTGTGGTACTCCTTCCAGAGCTGTCAAAACAACAAAGAAAGGATACATGCAGTGAATCTACATGTAGATGTATATAAATCTGCTTCTGCAGCCTCCGAAGTAGTCAGAGTATTAGTTCAAAAGGATTCATTCAACGGCTTCAAAGTCTTCTTTCAATCTAGCAGTCTCATTATAATGTTATACGTTTTTGTTACAGCAGAAACCGTTGCATCGCGACTCCAATGTTCAAAGGAAATAGTTGGGATTTAGGTTTTTCTGCGACTTGGGGGCGGAGCTTGATACAAATCAGCCAATGATTCAACGAGTTTTCAAAAAGCTCCGCCCCTCAGATTGAAAGAAARAACAAAATCCAGACAAACTTCAAAACAAAGAGGTYGCGATRCAACGATTTCTGCTGTAATGATCTCATTTTTGGGAACCCTGTCATCTTGAAGGGGTATCAAATGGTGTCTCAGAAATTGCGAAGCTTGCCAAAAATTGCCCAAGGCTCGCAACCTTGGCGCCTAAAAGAAAGGGGCTCGGATTAAAAATTGCTTTTGGCTCGGAAGCTCGCAAATGCCGAAATATCAGACTTGTTCAGCCAAAGTCTCAGGCTCGGATTCAAAAATGAGGGGCTCCAAGACTCGGCGAGGCTCGGATTTTACCATTCGATACCCCTATTTTGATAAAAAAATAAATAAAAAAAGGAATAATATATAAAATTTCAGTTCATGGTTCTTTGCAGCCTTTTCGTTAGTCACACTAACCTCTTCTATTTGTTGACCATCCAGATCCTTGATACGATCCATATGTAGAATAGAATCAAGAGACTAAAAGCAATATTCAGTGGGAGAAATTTAGTAAACTCASGTTYATKTTATTGAGCTCAGGTGTCCCTGCTCCRAARASCTTRAAAGCTCAGTCTAAAATGACCAAACTCACTGTTTTTGAAAACTGTGATGAACTTCCACTGCCAGACTTAGAACCTATTTTTGACTGCAAAAGAAAACATTAAAACATTAGAGTTTATTAYATAAGTATTCCTTTGCTATTTGCATACAACAGGTAGTTACAGCAGAGAAGTTAACACAGGTAAACCATATAGTTTTTGAAAACCCTTAGCCTCGTTTTCAATTCTCTTATTTGTGGKTATTCCTTAGCTAACCAAAAATGGATCTAAAAAAAAAAAGATTGGACTAACCTGTTTGTTCTGATGTTCACTGGCAATTGCTTTCATTCTGTTGGTTTCGTCAGTAAGTCTTTGGTCAACTTTTATTTTCTCTTCCAAAGACCGAAAATCCTGGCTATTTTTAAAATAAGTTATAAACAACATCGATATTACAATATCTGTGAAACACACATATATACATATATACAATGGAGTATAAAAGGAAAGATATAATGAGTACCTTCTTTCAGCATCTTGTGCTATCTTGATTTTATCCGCGTATTTGGCATAAAACGGATTCTGTTGCAAATCCTCATTTTCACTGTTTTGTGAGTCAAACGACGTCAAAATACATCGACGAACACCAACCCTTCCAAAAGACCTTTCTAACAAGTCATATTTTTTAAAGGGTACAATGGTGCCTGATGGAAAAACACTAGAGAAAGCTGACATTCTAATCTTGAAGATCGCACGAGAAACTGCCGCCATCTTGATTTCCAAAGAAAGTGTGGATTCCCTGTGGCAACACTTTCTGTAACCACAGGCAACCCAGTGTGTTGCTGCTGGTTCTCTATCTTCTAAAAAACTACCCGAACTTAGTCTTATTCAATCTGCATCAGCCGTTTATTAAACTCTCCTATTTCAGCACAAACAGTCGGAGAAACTTCGTAGTACAAGTGCGTCTATAAGTGCATTTCACTTGCTTTGTTGTTTAGTGAAAACCATAGCATGCCGTCTCGCAGCCGTTACTAGCCTCGTTCCCAGTTCTKCATCCCCTTTCCACTACATTACTTTCAAATGCTTCATAAAAATGCGTCCTGTCAATTATCCTATTGACAACACGCAAGTCGCAACACGAAGGACTTCCAAGAAACACAGGAATCCCAAATCTCCATTTGAAGAGTGACCCAGAAGCTTCGGTTGATCTTGTAATTCATTTAATTCCCAGCTTCTTCAGCCCCTACTAAACCACCGAAACCAGGTACGTAAGAGAATTATGAAGTTAACAGGCTAATAAAGTAGGTAGCAGGCAAATCAACTGATTATTTATCAATTAAAAAGGTTTCAGAGSAAACTTTTCTATASGAGTCATGCCAGTTCAAATCACGCTTGTTGAGACGAAGCTCGTGTTTCTTCTGAATCCAAATCAAAACTACTTCTGGATTGTATCCCATTGCATATTGCTATTCGTCATTTTCTTTAGSCAAAACCTTCAACATATAGATCACTGTACTCGTCGCAGTGGTCTCATACAGAAATCCTCACTTCCGCTTTTCACTCCAAAAATAGTATAAGGTCGAAATTGGCTTTTGATATTAAAACTTTGTCACGTAAGGTTTTCCCGAAAAAGAAGGGATCTATTTAATAACTATAAAATGTGCAGTCTTGGATGATTTAAAAAAATTCTTCTTTCAGTGCTTTTATATTTATTTTTAGTATTTTTGAGTTAAACACCTTTTTACTCAAAAATATMTATTTGATCACGTGATTTGTCGTTCACGGGAAGGTTCATTACCGGTAAGTCTTTACACCAAAGGTGCGTTCTCCCACCTTCTTACCTTTGGTCACTGAATTCGATTCAGTCCGTTCCGTACACTAGTATCGAGTGCCGGWAGGCCTTTACTCAACAAATGCGATTTTTTATTATAGATAAACCTGAACAAGTACTCAGTTATTTCGACATGTCTGTGGTAGCGGTCGACCAAGTTGAAACTACTCGTTTAGTAGTGAAAGAAACAGGCAATAAAGTCAATCTCAGGGATTCGGCTCATGCTCGTACTAATCATTACATCAAGCAAAGCCGACCATATTTCCCTAACAAAAAGCTACCTACTTACATCGAGTTCCCTTATATCATACCATTGTCTGCAATTCTATGGTTTGGTACCCTCTATGGTGGTTACAGTATCATTTCTACTACTGATGTTCCAAAGCAGCTTCCWATTGGCTGTCTTGYTGTATGTGTGATTTTTTGCTTTATTTTCTTCCAACATGAATGGGTGAATCAAAAGTCACTTCCGATCGTTTTAAAACAACCTGTMTTCGAAACCCAACGCATGCTGAACACGTTCTATGAGGTTACCGTCACAGAGCTCAAGGGAATGGCACTTGAAAACTATCGATCTGGCATTGGCTTTGTGCGCATGACTCAAGGCAAGATCAAGTTCCAGGCGTTTAACAAGAGAGCAACAAAAGAGATGTCACGTGCACCGTGCCTGTCWCGTGTCATGCTGTTTTTCTTTTTGCTATCGTTTGGTTGGAATCTATATTTCGTTGTGACTAACTATTGGGAATCAGGATCCCAGTGAAAATCAATAATCCATCAGTCTAAATTGAACRAAGTCATATTTTTTGAAAACTGGGGTACGAGGGAAGGGTGGGAGGAGGGCGTCTGGGACTAGGGTGGCTTACTATCCCCTTTCTAAGAGTTAGTCAAAAATAGAAATCATAATAAAGAGCAGACAAACTTAAGCTTGAAATAAAATCCCCAAACTACAATGAAGAACATGCATTAAGTGTATTTTTTTATTTCATATAAAAGTATGAACTTACGGCATGTTTGTTCAGAGTTTCTTTACAATCGCGTCATATGTAGTTTTTAGATAAGACTTTCCCATAGAATGAGAAAGTTGTCTCAGCACTTTGTTGRGATTGTTTTATATCATGGTTCAAGTAGCGTCTGCTCAATGGGGAACACAGAAATCCCAAACCTTAGACAATTCGATCYTGGTCTCGTTGATAAAGTGGTCGGAAGCTCTGTGGGCTGTGATTCATTTTTATTGTTCCAGCTTCTCAAGCCCTTGCTAGACAAGTTACGTAATTGTAGATAAAGTTCTTGTTTAGCAGGCAAATAAAGGAGTTAGCAGGCAAATCAATTCGTTCTTCATCTTAGAAAGTCTTATGGGAACCAAGGATTTTTGCATTAACCATGGCCGAGTCATTATATTATTGCTCGGCAGATCATGTTGATAAAGGGTTAGCTTCCCCTTTTGTCAGGCTTCCTGTCCCTCCCAAAAGAAGAGATCTAACTAGTGAAAGGTATAAGTCTTATATAATGTGATTTCTTAAAGCGCATATAGGTATACCGCGATACTGAAGTACGGCGCTAACTTAACGTTGTATTGCCGTTAATAATCACTCTACTCAGTTTTTTTTTTGTTGCTACTGGGGGAAGTAGGACGTCTTAACTTGAACTCTTCCAACTCCGAAATGAGATACTGAAGTAGTTTTATTTCTAAAACGTTAACGTGTCAGCACTATTTCGTCCATGATTGCACTCTCAAGGTTTCTTTGTTGTTACTTGGACAAGAAGGTAATCGTTGATTTATTTCGATTCTTATCTGTTGTACAAATATTAAACATAACTATTATCCAATTATTATCCGTGCGCTCAAAGTCCCATATTAAAGTCTTAAATCAATGTGAAGTGAAAGAGACTGAGGCTAAAAGGAAGTAGATATGTAAMCTCAAGACGAACAACACTTYAGTGAAAACGTTTTCATGCCACTTATCTAACCTCTTAAGATATTTCAAGGGCCTCTTCACTTCYATGGCCGGAAAGTGACATTTTCYTTTTCRACAGTAAACCCCATAGCTTGTTACTTATGCAACGCGCGCAAATCTTTCTTGACTTGGTCAATCTAACAATCCAGTCTGAGTTTCAACAGAGKCGGTTGAAGTAGAGKTCGYTGGGCCTGATTTTGAAAGCCTTAAAGCTACTTCATGTCCGATTGTGTAAAAGGCAAACTGATAACGAATTTGTTTTTCTATAAGGAAAGGCAGGTGACACTGATCTTAAGGAGTCGGCTCATTGAATATATAAAGACGTCGTCATCTTGTTATTTTTGAACATTTCATCCCCCTTTTACAGCAGCAAAGACGAGGCAAAAACGATGAACAGCTACTTTTTCCGMTGCGCAACTTTGACATCCTTAATGTTTATCGTATCATCATTAGTTATTCTTCATTTGGTAAAGCCTAGTGGAGAAAGCAAAAGTAATCAAAATTGTACCTTACCAAAGTTTAGCCATTGCAATTTTACCTCGGATACAGGATTTGCGATTTGCAGAGTAACGGAAGTGTGTCAGTTGGAAAATCTGATCMRGGAAAAGAAYATCACAAAGCTGTAAGTAATAATATAATCCTACGATTTTCAAATGAAATAAGAATTCAGAAAGCATTCATCATATTAATAAGCCAAATCGGAGTTTCAATATGGCTACGTGAGCGKGATAAAACATTTAAATAACAACTTGAGAAATGAATCAAATGATTGTTCTTTTCAACAATGATTATGCTTGTTAGCTTGGAGAAAATAATTTCCCGCATGCTGTTGATAGGGTCGCTCAAAGCAGAGAAAGTGAACTCATGCTAAATAATACGATCTTTTTCTGTAGAGATCTGTCTCGTAATCAGCTCAAGGTGGTACCAGAAAGATCTCTGGCTCGTTTCAAWGGTCTTACACTACTGTAAGTTTGAACATGAAAGATCAGAGGGGAAAAAATGTCAAATAAAGTAAAAATTGCTTAGCTTTATTTGCTATTTCTAGATCGCTTGCTTACAACAACATATTTTCGTTGGCTTTCACTGCGTTTGCTGGGCTTGACAATCTACGAACACTGTAAGTGTACATTGGAATATTTATCACCTTTTGATTGGTTGTTGTAAAAGTAGGAATCCCGCAGTGTTTGATGCAAACCTCGCTGTGCCGGAATAGATTTTATCATATAATTATCTATGGAATACCTATATTACTCCATTTCTTAAAGTTGATATTTTCACTTGTGAAAAATAACACATTCGAGGTTTCGCTATATAGTGGAAGAAAAAAAAGGTATTTTACGACATACTTTGCTTTTATAAGAACTTTTTATATGTAATTAATTATATGATGAACAGACTACATGGTCGCTTGGATACACTCACTCGAGAGATCTTTTCAACACGCGAAGATAAAATCCGCATCTCCGCGCGCACATGTAATATCCTCTATTTATATGTTTATTTTGCGCAAAATAACGATATTTAACAACGTTTTTTTCAGTTAAACGACTTTATTTTTGACAGAAACCTTACTGGAAACCCATTTAAAAGATTTACTGGTAGCCTGAATCTATCTGGCATATTCAAGGCACTCATATCAATCGACGCAACGGGAATAAAAGGCTGGAAACCACAGAAGGGAATGTTACAGTTACGYAACCTCACAAGCATAAAAGGGTTTTCTTGGTCAGCGGAGTGTCGAGGGTGTCATTTGTACCGTTTGAATGACACCTGGTCGCCGACAGCCACTAGAATTAGAAAGGACTGTAAACTTCTMGATTTTAAAGTKAATCCATTTTCYCCARCCGCACGTTTTCTCAACAACACTTCATTTAGTTATAGTTGTCAACACGATTATCATTGTAAATACGGAAAGTTGAAAAGCAACAGATTATACCTGCACATAAAGACAACAAATAGYTGTTTGAATGARCAACTGGCTTCTGTCAACGCAATATCAGTTTTGGCTTATTTTACAGCAATCTTAAATCTAGTAGTAATACTAAATATTCTATCTTCTCGAGCTTTGCGTAAAAGTGTGACAATGTTGTTCGTGTGTAATTTGGCAGTAAGCGATTTTCTTGTGGCTATCTATGTCATAGGCATGGGTATGTACTGGAATAGCGAGTATTTTAGTGAATTTCAAGCTGACCCTCGGGTTCGATTCAATTGTTCAACGATTGGATTTTTATGGCTGTTAGGTCAGTGTAATTCAGTGAGCACTTCGCTGCTTTTAACAATAGAACGATATCTTGTTTTRRTTTTCACTATGAACCCYRMCATGAGAATTTCTCATCGCATGGCTGTCATTTTGCTTTTGRTATTTTGGATGATAGCATGGATCCTGACTGGGTTTTCTTTATACCACAACTTATTCCATTCTTCAATAGTTTGTGTTCCTATCGCATGGCGTTACTTTCCTTTGAGACGTATTTTCACATTAATACTAGTCTCCATAGCATCTTCGTTCTTTATTGTCATATTTATTCTATACCTTCATATTTTCATAGATGTAAAACGAACAGCTCAGAATGCTGGAGCTAAACTAGAAGCTAAAACGGCACAAGGCATTGCTCTCATAGTGTTTTCTAATCTCTTTTTCTTTGTTYTGCCGCTTCTTATTGGGAWAATAGTTGTGTTACTGAGACCTGGTGCATTAAGTCAGTCAACATTGCAGTATCTAATGTACATAATGCCTGGGTTTAGTATATGCTTGAACTCTTTTCTAAACCCATTACTCTACGCTTATCGTTCTAAAAAATTTATTGAAAACTTAACAAAAGCATGGGCAGCATGCAGACAAAGAGTGGCTTCTTCAATGAGAATAAGTAACAATAAGATTGGCAGCAGCAACGAAACAAATGCTGCATAGTAAAGAAACGAAATTCAGAGGGGATCCATTGAGAGGGGTTCCATGGCTTCCACACAATCCCCCTCAAGCATCAAATTTGAAATTCAAAAATTACGCTAATATAAAATATACATTCTACAACGAAATTTCATCGAGTTCATGTTTTTTAATTAAAGATACAAATATCATAGGTAGCATAGACGCCCATGCGTGCCTGTTGTGTTGGATATCTTATCAGCACTCGTTTTCATCACGTTCGTAATTATAGGAAAATGTGAAACAGAATTGAACCCCTTTGGAAAATAGCAGCAAATATCAGGGTGGGTTGTGTCAGTAACAATCCAAAACTTGTTTTTTCAATGAACTGTGTGATGTAATGTCGAAAAATGGGTTTCGTTTTGTTACTACAGGCAATAATTTTTTTCCTCAGAAAAGCTAATGGTTTGTTTATTGTAAGTTGGAATAAAAGCTTCCGATTTCTTACCATTTGTTCACATTGTTTTCCGGAGTTTTATGTTGTTGCATGTGGGAAACAAGCTTAAATCGCACAAAGAAGCTAAYTAAATAAGTTAACAAACAAAAAAGACGCAATAAAGACAAAAGATGGGCTGAATATATCCAACCTCAAGTGTCTTTGGCTTTCTGAAAGCTAAAATATCTTCCCAATACATATTGGTCCAAGTGGTTTCATAGTTTGATGCCGAGCACCAATTCTCAAACCTTTAGATACTTAACAATTCGAATCCCAAATCCAATATTCAGCAAGATGAATTGATAAAATGTTCAAATGCCTATATTGTTCCCACTACAGGTAAATGGCCACTGGCTTATGATCATTCAAGAGTGAAGTGCGGATACCACCAGCTATAAAACCCAAATAAAAAGTATTGATTTTTATCCGTATTTTAATCTTCCAGAATAAAGTCAAAATCTACCTTTTTATTTTATGTTGTACTGTCTTTATGCTTGTTTTCTATAATTTACAAAACTTTTAAAAAGGTTGTAGCAATTCGTGCAATACCGCCTTTAGAAGCTTTCTGATGAGAACTCTCTCGATAGAATATAAATAGCTGTCAGCGTCCCGTTGTGTTTTTTAAAACTTTCCGATAAGGCAAACCAATGCACAAGTAAAGGAAAGACAATCACGATGAACTCCTGCATTTGTTTATGTTCGAAATCCTCTTTAG